TCTTTTCTCGTTTGTGAATGTGTTCACTGTGTCTGTCCCTAAATAACTTCCTACTTTTAAAATATTTTACTTCATCAACAGTGAAGTGCACAGTCTTTAACTTTTTTCTAATACACACTCACACAAACATTTTTTTCTAATGAAAATTGGATCTTGCTGTATATATTGTCCCAGGACATACTTCTTTTACAACACTACACCTCAAATACTAATCTTATATTATTCATAATCAAGGTGGTTTTCTTTCTTTCATGTTAGAAATAATGCTACTATAAACATCTTTGTATATAAATCATCTTGCATAGCTCTAGTTACCTCCACAGAATAAATTTCCAAATGGTATTTGCCTTTAAGATAAATTCTTTAAAGTGCAATTGCTGTACAAAAAGACGAATTGTTATTAAGTCAACATACGCCTATCTATTTCCTACAGGAACAAAGTCTCTGCACTCATTTTGGTGTCTATCAAGCTAATCTCCTAACGTTGACAATAAAAGCCCACCCTTCAGGCTAGCATTCCTTCAGCATCAATCCCAGACATCTCACTCTCCTCAAGGGAAAACTCCAACCTATCAACTCTGAGAAGGAGGACCAAATCTACTCTTTACATAAGATACATTTTTATGGCTTAATCTGTATGAAGCACTGTTGTCAGAAATTTGCCTGAATTATCTCATTTCACCCTCACAACAGCAACAAGGCAGGTGATATTATCATCCTTATTTTACAGACGGGAAAACTAGGACATAGAGAGGACAAGTAACTGGCCCAAGGTCACACAGCTAGTAAGGCTCATCCAGGCAACCTGGCTTCAGAGTCTATGGTTTAACTACTCCATAAAGCCACCTCTCCTCACCAATTTTAAGTTCAGTGCCTGATACTCACTAAATGGTAAGTTCTCAATAAAAATTGGTTGAATTAATGAATTTTTACTGCCCCATTTAACATACATTTCTCTCCCAAGTTTTCATGTAAAGGTCTGGATGAGAAGTCAACCTGGGGCCCTATTTCCTTGGAAACTATACAGCTAAGAGATACACAGTGTTGTGCCCAGATCCCCCTTATATGAAATTCAGCATCTAGGTTGGAAATCAAGGCTGCTTTTTCTGTGTCAAAGTACCTTGGATCCTCCAGACAAGAATGGAATGGTTCATTCTTATTGATATGATTTCCAGCAGCAAAGCTTTTCATAAACAGCAGGTTTTTATTTTTTCTATTTTTATTTTTAATTATTTTATTGCAGTCATATTGGATTATAACGCTGTGTGACTTTTAAGTGTATGTTATTATATTTCAGTTTTTGTATAGACTGCATCCTGTTCACCACTAATAGTCTAGTTTTTATTTGTCACCATACATATGAGCGCTTTACCCCTTCCACCTTCCCCCAGCCAGCTTCCCCTCTGGCAACCACTAATTTATTCTCCTTATCTATGTGGTCTTTTGTCTGACTTCCACATACAAGTAACATCATGGGGTAATTTGTCTTTGTCTTATTTTGTTTAGCATAATATTCTTTCTTTTTTTTTTTAAAGATTGGCACCTGAGCTAACAACTGTTGCCAATCTCTTAATTTTTTTTTCTGCTTTATCTCCCCAAACCCCGCCTGCACACAGTTGTATATATCTGAGTTGCACATCCTTCTAGTTGTGGGATGTGGGACGTCGCCTCAACGTGGCCTGACAAGCGGTGCCATGTCCGCGCCCAGGATCCGAACCCTGGGCCACCGCACCGGAGCCTGCGAACTTAACCACTTGGCCACAGAGCCGGCCCCAGCATAATATTCTTAAGGTCCAGTTATGTTTTTGAAAATTGCAGGATTTTCTCTTTTTTATGACTGAGTAGTCTTCCATTGTATACATACAGCATGTCTTTTTTATCCATTCATCCATTGATGGTCACTTGTGTTGCTTCCATGTCTCGGCAATTGTGAATAATGCTGAGATGAACATAGGGATGCATAAATCCTTTTGAATTATTGATTTCATGCTCTTTGGGTAAATATTCAGTAGTGGAATAGCTGGATCATATGTCTATTTTTAATATTTTGAGAAATCCCCATGCTGTTTTCTGTGTTGGTTGCACCAGTTTGCATTCTACCAACAGTGTATGAGGGTTTCCTTTTCTCCATATCCTCTCCTACACTTGTTATTTCCTGTCTTCTCTAGCCATTCTATGAATGTGATGTGATATCTCATTGTAGTTTTGATTTAAATTTCGCTAATAATTAGTGATGTTGAATGTCTTTTCATGCCCCTGTTGGCCATCTGTATATATTCTTTGGAAAAATGTCAGCTCATATCTTCTGCCCATATTTTGATTGGGTTGTTCATTTTTTTGTTGTTGTTGAGTTTAATGCATTTCTATATTTTTTGGAAATTAGCTTTTTGTCAGATATATGATTTTCAAATTTTCTCCCAGTTGATGAGTGGCCTTTTCATTTTGTTGATGGTTTCTTTACCTGTAGAAGCTTTTTAGTCTGATGTAGTCCCACTTGTTTATTTTTTATTTTGTTTCCTTTGCCTGAGTACACATGATATTCAAAAAGATATTGCTAAGACCCACAACAAAGAGGATACTGCCTATGTTTCCATGTAGGAGTTTTATGGTTTCAGGTCTTACATTCAAGTTTTTAATCCATTTTGAGTTAAATTTTGTGTATGATGTAAGATAATGGACAGCAAATCTTCAATAAAGGGGCCAGGAACATACAATGGAGAAAGGAAAGTCTCTTTAGTAAATAATGTGGGAAAAACTGGACAGCCTTGTGCAAAAGAATGAAAGAAGACGGTGAAGTTTTACTGAAAGTTTCTCAGTGAGTAAGAAATCAGGAAGCACTCAGTGAAGGGGGTGGTTTTGCCCCTTTGCAGCTGCAGCATGACCTTGGGAGAAATATTTCTGATAACCATGTAGTTGCCTTTATCTAATATGTCTGGTGTCCCAAAGTGATGACTGGCAGTGCAGATTATTATATTCTGAGCTAATTTTTACATTCTCAACCCTCTCTGATTAATGCCTACTCTCCTATTTTATTTTGTCTCTGAACTCTACCCCATGTGTCTCCTCAGCTTTCATCACAAGTGATTTTATGCCTGCTCTTTTTCAACTTATTTGTGGGCCCTACATACTACAGGTCCTCCAGAATATTGATTCCCTACTTGCAGCATCAATGCAGAAAAGAGCACTTCTCTCAGCAGATGACTGAGAATGGACAGGAGGGTCCTGAGGCAGTGCTGGTCCCTGTCTCAAGCTCTTCCTGAGAGGCAATCCTGGAGCCTCCTCCTTACACAGCCCCCTAGAGGGAGCCTGACTCTTACTAGGAGTGGCCAAGTACATGGGACAGACTGTCAATATCATTGGGGATGGACAGGCATTTAGGAGCTAGAGACACCCAGATTAAAATGCCCTACTGATCACTTTAGAACATGTAACTGAAAGGTACGCCTACATTTGTTTTTCAAAACAGCATTGGTGCCTCAAGCTTTTCAGAACTGTGTTCTTCTACGTGATAGATATGCTGAAGTATCCATGGGAAAATGCATTGATGTCTGTGACTAACTTTAAAAGGCACCAGATAAATAAATAAGGAAAGGTTCAAATAAATAAGGATGGATAGGAGGATGAACAGAAGGATAAATTATAATAAATTGAATAGATTAAATGTTCATTGTAGAATATAGATAGTAGGTATACTTGGAGTTCATTGAAAAACTCTTTTAACTTTGCTCTATGCTTGAAAATTTTCATGATAAATTGTTAATAGTAGGGGATGGAGAGAGAATAATCGTATTTTGTTGCTGATAACAGATACCATAAGTGCCATTGGCTTAAACAAAACAAGAGTTGTCTGCCTTCCATGTAAAGTGAATTCAGAAGGTTGCAGTCCAGAGCTGGTCTGGTAGCTCAGACATGCATCCATGCCCCAGCCTATTTCTGTCGTTATTCTCTGCCATCTCGGCAAGTGATTCCATTCTCAAAGATGTCTCATGGTCACAAGATGGTCACTGCACTACAGCTCCAAGGACCATGTTCTAGGCAAAAGGAAGGAGGAAATAGGAAAAGTCTGGACCTCTCCTGAGAAATACAACCCAACAACTTCCACCTACAAATCATTGGCTCAAACTTAGTCCCTTGTCTCTCCTACCTACAAGGGGGAGGGGCAGATTGCTGGAAACCCTCCCCTCAAATTCGGTTTGATTACTAAGAAGAAGCAGGGAATAGATATTACACGAGGATCCTGCCATGTCTACCACAGAGCTTAAATTCAGACTTTTGGAATAGAATCAAATTCCATCAGCCAAGATCACATCATAGCCCTGGGAGCTTAATCACTGTCTTGGAATGCCAATAAAGCATCTTGGGAGGCTCTAGGCCACGGTCATTCACAGCCATCCAGAGTCTAACCTCAGAGAATACAGAATCCTGCTGGCAGAGTGAAAACAAAAGCATGTGAAAATACAAATGTAGCACAAATAAGGCACAAAGGGTGAAGGAAGCTACTCAGCAACACTGTAAACAAGAATGTTCTGAAAAATGTAAGACATGCCCATCAGTCACTGGCAGCACTATCTCTGGAAACATGAAAATTATATGATTTGGTCATGGATCTGAGATGAGTTTCAGAGGTGCCAAAAAGGTAGAGTGAATCTGGTTTTCTTTCCGTTCGTCCTTCCTTTTGTCTCTGTTGTAAAAGATGTCCTCCTCCATGTGCCCACCTACATCCACACAGATTTTAAAGAATGGCCACAGAAACATTTTACTTAATACACATCTTCCTCTCTTCACACATTAAAATCTTGTAATTTTCCTGCTTAGTTCTGCTGATAAATCTTTTATGGTACAAAAGACATAAACTAAGTGTATATAACGAAATACTGATTATGCACAAATATACACATGAATGATTCAAATAGGTAAACACAGAGAGACAGAAACAGTGTGGGAATTTGGGCTATAATTTTTCGTCTTTTTGTATAATCCAATATAGTTACAATTTTCATTCTAACTTTCCCCACTGGTGTCTGTCCCCACTGATAAGAAACACCCTTCTGAGCCAATCAAAAAACTAATTCTTCCAAAGAGGGACTCTGTGACTGTTTCTCACAGTGAGCTGCATTTCCTTCATTTCCTTTTCTTCCAGAGCAGACTGTTAACTGTAGTGAAGAATTATTGATTACTTCACTCTGTGGCCTGCGATGTTCAGATGGGAACGCCGAGGGGTAAGTGGGGGAAATTGGTAAAAGCCAGTGTTGCACACCCTGGGAGGAGAGAGGCTAAGAAGCTGAGAATGGGTGTAAAGAAGTCCTCACCCAGAGAAAGGGGTTTGGTGCTTGTGTATGTGGTGAGGGGATGAGGGGTGGGGGCAGGAGGCAGTGCAAATGGTAAGGACTTGAATTGGGGAATTTGGTGGGAGGGAGAAAATCTGAATGAAAAAACTTGACAAGTACATGTTCTTAGGAACTTAACTGTGGTGAGAAAGGAACAAAGGACTCTTATAGTCTCTCCTGGTCATCTCTGGGAATGTATTCTAGGAGATTATAAAAAAGATATGTGCCTTAAAATTTATATGTGAAGATGTTCATTACAGAATTATTTGTAGTATAGAAAAATCTGAACCAACCTCTGTATACAACATACATATATATATATAACAGTAGGAGGATGATAAACAACATATTGTGCAGTCATGAAGGAATTTCCACATAATCATTAGAAACGTGTTTTAAATAAAGAGTTTTTATTTATAATTATAACAAAATTGGATCCAATTTGGATGTTTAAAATGTAGCTACATTTTGCTTTTGCAGATTTTACTATGATGAACAGCCTTGAACATAAATCTTTGTGTTAATACCTGATGTTTTTTCCTTAAGAATAATTCCTACAAGTGGAATTTCTGTGTCAGAAGATGAAACATTTTAGAGGTATTTCGTATATACACATGACCAAAATACTTCCAAAATATTTATATTCCTTTGAAACGAAGTATATAATTACCAATACAGATTATTTAAATTTTATTCTTTTAAATGTTTCTCTATTTAAAAATCATCTATAATCAAGAACAAAAAAAAACAATAAATATCCCAAAAAATGAGTGAAAACGTATTCCCCACTCTTAGGAAAGCAGAGAAATTGTACCTATTATAATAATAATAACACCGTCCACTCTAGCTGCACAGAGAACAGTTTGAAGAGGAGAGGAAGGACTGAAAGGCAATATCTTGTGTGATGTGGTTTTCACATTCAGACAAGGGTTCAAAGGTTGACCATCTGCACAGACTTCTGCTCCCTTCTCCCCCGGCAGTTCCTGGATTAGCAGGTACTAGGACTGGGTCCTCAGGCTGGTTCGTTTGGAGGAGTTGGTATTTTCTGAACAACTAATATGTTGCAGTCACCATAATTACTCGTAACAATTCTTGGTTGTTAAGTTGTATGTGAAAATTTTTAAAATTTAAAAGATTCAAATAATTTTTAAAGTATAGAGCGCAAAAGACAAAAGAATCTTTCACTCAATCCCCAATTCTCAGTTTTGCTTGTTTCCTTTTAGACCTTTTTTAAGGTAATGACATAAAAAAGTGAATAGAAGTTTACAGTTTTGTTTTTGTTTTTAATAGAATCATTAGTAGTATTCTGAAATTTGCTTTTTGTTCACTTAATGTATCTTGATCATCTGGGTAGGTGACTATAAATTAGTTGTAGCTGCCACATTGAATTCATTCCATGTTGTACCCTTATTTAACTAGCCAGTCTCCTATGGGTGTCACAATAGGTTGTGATCCCTTTTTTCACTTTAAAAATAATGCTGCAGTGTCATCCTCACACGTGCTTCTCTCTGGATGCATGCAAGTGCTTTGCTGGACTACATATCTGCAAGTGGCTGTACTGGGGCAATTCTACACATTCTAAAGTTCATTTTTCACATTGTTTCACTAGTGACTAAAGTTCAAATAGGTTTTGTCACATGGCAGTGATCACAGAGCTTGTGAATCATGGAGCCATTACATAGTTTCCTTTCCCTTTCTGTTTCTCCACCTGCCACATAGCAGGCCTGGCACATAGTGCGTGCTCCATAAATATTTTTTGAATGAATGACTGAAGAGATGAGTGAGACCGGGTCTTAGTCCTAGCTCTCTCATTCACTAGTCTTTTAATTCAGAAGTGATGGGTTCAGCCTCTAACTGACTCCAAAGCCTCCACCAGGGAGTCTGCCTGACATCTTCAGGGAAAGAGAGGATACATGATGGGAGAGGTCCAAGGGAAAAGGGAGGAGCTAGATCCAGAGATCTCAGTCCTGTAGTCCACCTAGGCTTGCTCTCAGGCTCTCCACTATCTAGGGATGCAGCCAGCTGTGGTGTCATTAGGATGGAAGCCAAGCTAGAACTACAGTTATAATCAAACCTTGTCAGCTGGGGAAGGCCCCACACTTTGCTTATCATGAAGGTTCATACTGATGCCACAGACCATGCCTAAAAGTTGGTGGAGGTGCTTTTCTGAGCCAAGACACAGTTGGGAGCACTGGTCAGGGAGTGGGGACTTGCAGAGGCTCTGCCTCTGGGCTGAGAGAACCTCAGCACTTCATAGAGCCATGAGCTTTGTTGGGCTGCTGTGTGCTCCTAGCCTGACATATTAGCGCCTTCTTTGCAAGTACAAGCTCTTACATTTCTGCCTTGAAGAGGCACTTCTCTAGCAGTGGAGATCCTAAGACCAGGGAAATTATCCAATTACTAGTGAGCCCAGAGGCCATCAGACAAGGAGCATTGGTGAACATCTAGGAAAAGGGAAGACAAGAAATGAATAATTTCCTTCCCAGTGATGTTTCTTCCCCAAAAAACAATTGTGAAAAGAGTGCACTGAAACACATGGAGTTGTTACACTCTTACGTGCTATCCAGGACATGCTTGCTCTGTGAAACCACTTCATTGAAAAGTAGGAATAAATACATTAATATAGGCAATTCCCTGTGGAAGCACAAGAGACCAGGCTCTCTCTCTATGCCAGACCGAAAAAGTAGGTCATTACTTTTTTGAGTAGTGGCAGATGCTTATCTTCACAGCTCTCCACCTCCCCTTGATGGATGACAAGCAGTTAACCTGATCATCTAAACCAATTTAAAATGCTAGTGTGGCCAGCCGGTGGTGCAGCAGTTAAGTTCACACGTTCTGCTTTGGCTGCCCAGGGTTCATCGATTGGGATCCTGGGTGTGGACATACACACTGCTTGTCAAGCCATGCTCTGGTAGGTGTCCTACTATATAAAAAGTGGAGGAAGATGAGCATGGATGCTAGCTTAGGGCCAGTCTTCCTCAGCAAAAAAAGAGAGGAGGATTGGTGGCAGATGTTAGCTCAGGGCTAATCTTCCTCAAAATAAATAAATAATAAAACAGATAAATAAACAAAATGCTACTGAGTATGGATGGGCTAATAAATTCATCCTCATCCATTCACTTAGTCAACAAAAAGTTTCTGAGGGTTCCATGTGAACCACCCACTATTGTATAGGCTCATCACATATCAGAAAACAAAATAGACCAATATTCTTGTTTGTGGAGCTTCCACTTGTGTAGGTGGAGACAGACAGTAAGCACATGGTATGCTAGATGGTGAAAATTTAACGGGGAGAAGAGAGCAGGCTTCGGGGGATGGGAGCAGTTTGCCATAATCCTGTGGTCAGAGAAGGTCTCATGGAGGAAGTGACTTTAGAGGAAAGACTTGAAGGAGGTGAGGGAGTGAGCCTTGTGGATGTCTGGGGGAAGAGGGTTCCAGGTAGAGGGAAGAGTCAGAGCTGAGGTCCTCTGTCCTGGCCCGTTCAAGGACCAGCAAGAAGGGCAGTGTGTCTGGAACAGACAAGGAGGGTTGGAGAGATGAAGTGAGAGGTGCAGGTCCCAGAGGGCCGTGTTGGCCATTCTGAGGACTTCAGCATCTACTCTGAGTGAAATAGGAGATATTGAGCAGAGGAGTGACATGATGTGACTCGAAGCACATTCTGGCTGCTGTGTTGAGCACAGACTGTAGGGGGCAGAAGTGCAATCAGGAGAGGAGGGTCCTGTATTAATCAGAGTGTGATGGTGCAGGCTTGGATGTGGCTGTAGCAGTGGAAGTGTAGAAAGTGGAAGGATTCTGAACACATTTGGATAGCAGAGACAAAGTTTTCCTGATTGATTAGGGTTAATGTATGTACATTTAACGTTATATATTTTTATGGGTGATTTTCCATGTGAAACTCAAAGGTTAAGAAACTCCCGAGCAGGTATTTTGGCAGAAGAGGGTCTTGAGTCACCACATTCATGACTGTGTGTTTCACCAAATTGGCCCTGGGGAGGTGGAGGTTGGATGTGGAATTCACAATCTTCTTCTAGGTCCAGGTCAAAATATCTTCTCAACTCTTTCTGGCATCTCTCTGCAGCACTGATGAAAATGGCAACTTCCCTAGACTTCCTTCTCCTCGACTTCCTTGTTGGCCTCATCTTCTTCCAGCTTCTTACCCCCTGCTCAGGTAGGGACCATTCTGCTTTTATGTATCTGAAGCAATTACCTATGAGTGTCCAGTCAGAACCTCTGACAACTTCTCATACCTGGAAGTCCCATACCAAGCTGAAAATACTCATGACAATTAGACAAATTATACTTCTGTTAGGATCACGTTCCTCTCTAGGTTATTCATACTTCACCCTCCCTGCCTGAGGTGCTCTCACCTTATCCTCATGGCCTCAAGTCCCTCTGATGGAGCTTCTCCTTTTATTGACTAGCTCAGTTTTCTGTGATCAGACCCCCTGGAACCATCCTGGCTGTGGTGGGTGAAGATGCTGATCTGCCCTGTCGTCTGTCCCTGAACATGAGCGCGGAGACCATGGAGCTGATGTGGGTGAGATCCAGCCTTAAGCAGGTAGTATATATGTATGCAAACGGGCAAGAAGTGGAAGACAAACAGATGGCAGAGTATCGAGGGAGAACTTCGCTTTTAAGAGATGGCATCGCTGAAGGAAAGGCTACTCTCCGAATTTATAATGTCAGGGCCTCTGACAGTGGAAACTACCTGTGTTATTTCCAAGATGGCAACTTCTCTGAAATAACCCTGGTGGAGCTGAAGTTTGCAGGTGAGCCTCCAGATTTTACTCTGTGCTAGTTCCTCCCTGGGACCTGGAAGCAGAGGAAGACGTCATCCTCCAAATCCACCTCAGAGCACCCTGGCTGGTCACTTGGAACTGCCTCCACCGCCTCCCCATTTTGTTTCTTTGAGGCCCTTGGGAAAGACAGAGGTTTTCCTCTGGGAAGAATCCCCCCTTCACCCTATAATATCAAGTAAAGAACTCCCTCATGCTGGCCACCAAGGTCTAAGCAGGAAAGTGGAAGGTTGGGGATAGGAAGGATAAGAAAATATCTCCTCAGTGATGGCACACAGTTGTTCGGGTTCAGGTGTGTTCCAGATGGCTTCGGTGGCCCCTCCAGGGGCACGGTGCTGTGGGTCCTGGGAGGCTGACCTGTGGGACGGCATCTGTGCTGCCAAAGTTCTCTAAACAAAGGCCTCTAGGAACATACCAAGCTGTGTTTATTATTTGTTACAGGGAGGGAGAATGCACGTCATGTGGGAACCATGGAGCATCTCAGTAAGAGAGTGTTAGAGAAGAGTTGCTATAGGAGTGGGCTTGTGTTAGGGGAGCTCGAAGAGGGTATATGGAAGTGGAGCTTTTCTCTGGATTGGATGCTGTCACGAAGGTGGGGGGTGTGATTCTGTGGGTGGGTATCTTAAAAAAGAGTCAAATGCAGAGCGGTTTGTATAGAATTCTATCTTTGGTGTAAAGAAGAAAAAATAAGACCATATTTATATTTTTAAAATTTGATATACACTTGCATAGCCCTCACTCTGTGTCAGGCACATTATAAGCATTAATTTGATCCTTTACCCTTATGAGTGGGGTACTGTTATTACCCCAAGTTACAGATTAGGACACCAGGAGCAGAGCAGTGAAATAATTAGCCCAAGATCACACTGCCAGTCAAGTGGAGGAGCCAGAATTTGAACTCAGGCCCTTCAGCTCCAAAGTTCACACTCTTAGCTGCCATATTACGCTGATTAATTAAGCTAATAAATGGAGGCATGGAGGAGGGAGTGGATGGGAGACTTGAACGACTTTTTATATTTTTTTGATATTTGAACCATTTAAATGTGACCTATTGAAAAAATTAAGTTAGAAAAAACATGTGATTCTATTGCTCAAGTAATTGATATTCAGATATGAGAAGCAGACATTTCAAGACAAGTAATCTTATTACGTTATAGTAAGAGTTTATCAAAGTCTTACCCAAAGATTGCTGAGACGTTGGCAGGAGAGAGAGCACTTAATGTCATGAGATCAACTCTGTGATCCCTGCCCTGGAGGTGAGAGGCTAAAGCTCCATTTCATTGCAGACCCCTTTTGGAGGACCCGCACCTTGATCCTAGCCTTTGCTGGGACCCTGGCAGTCTTCCTGCTGCTTCTCTCAGTAGCAGGTTACTTCCTGTGGCAAGAGAAGCAAAAAGAAGCTGTATCCCAGGAGAAAGAGATATAATAAAAGGAAAAAGAACCGGCATGGGCACAAAAGGAACAGAATGAAGGGTAAAAAGTATCGGACCTGGGAGGGAACATATGACCCTGGCTTGGGGGAGGGAGCCCAAAGACCTCACCCCTTCCCCACCCCACACACCTGCCTTTGCACTGGGTCATTTCTAAGGTTTATTTTCCAGCGGTGCTCCACACTCCATCTCCCTAACAGTAAGTTGTTTTTCCTGCTCATTTTCCAGAGAAGCTCTAGTGTGAACTCCATAAATACTGATTCCCCCAAGGTCCCAAGTAGTTCTTGGTATCACTGCTTTAAGAATCTTAATGACTGCCTACATTTGTTCCATTGCAGACTTGAGAGAGGTGGACTACAGGGCTCTTGCCTGAGTGGCTCTCACATTTTCTCTGAATTTACATCTAAGACTCTCTGCTGGGATGCTTTCCAGCCCCTTTCCTCATTCCTAACTCTGCCCTGGGCTGAGAAATGTCCTGGGTCGATTTATAAAGAGACAGAAATAAGGAATACTGGTTGCGGTGGGGGGGGGGGGGGGGGGGGTCTTGTTATTTTAAAACAGAGAGGCACTTTCAATGTCTCTCCAAGAGGGGCCCACAGACTGTTCAGCCCATCAAGGCACCAGAGAATATCCAGGGGTGTACCTGAAAGGAAAGGAGGAGGAGGCAGATGGAACTCTCTAGGTGAAATACCTTCCCTATGCCAGGAACCTCACTAGTTGTTTTACATAACCTCACTAGCTGCTGAAAAGAAAACAAAGAATGCGTGAGTTAAGAAGACGAGAAAGTCAGAGGAGAAGGAAAGAAAATTGTCTCTAAAAAAAAGGAGTGGCTACAGTGACACAGATGTCATAAATTTATTAGAAGTGCTTTTAAAAAAAATAGTACCTGAAACTTCCTCAGAAAGTTGCCCAATTCTTTTCAGAAGCATGCAGAAAATACTACAGTTGAGATAGATGGATTCCAGTACACATATATATACAAGCATACACACAGTGACACCCACACTCAGGGATGGGAGTATAGACACACACAAAATAGATCTGCCAGGTCTCAGCTGGGAAAGCACTTATGTAGTGTGTGTGGTATCATCAGCATGCAATTGGTGTTCTCAGACTTGACATCAAGGAGGAGAAGGGAGGAGAGGATGGAACAGGCAGAAGGAGAAGGTAGGAAGGGTGGGGGTGGGTGTCAAAAAGAAAGATTGAATGGGTGCAAAAGAAGAGAATGGCACAACTCAGAAATTACATATTTCAGGTGATGTCTCTACCCTTCTTCCATTGCAGGTGAAGGGAAGTCTCAGGCCTATGCTGGTGAGTGACCCTGATGTTCTCTGATTTTCCTGGCACATGTGTACTAAGCATTTAAACTTTTTCTCTGCTGTGTGACCCATTGCAATTCCAGTAGGAATAATCAGATCTAGCCCAGAGAGTCATTTTCTGTGGGGGATACCACCCCTGATTTTCTGTAGCCTCAGGGAAGACCTTCCAGAGACAGGGTCTGGTCATTTTCAGCCACTCCTCACCGTGCAGGCACAGCACACATGTCCATACCCTAGCAAAGCCTAGCATGTCACCCACAGCCCCAGCATGATGGAGACAAGGAAGTACACCATTTTTGAGAGCTTATGTGCCTCACCCAGCAGAGCTGTGAATGAAGGAAGCAGGACATTGGAAGGGACTGAAGAATGGGAGCGAGAAGAGGCTTAGTGACGAGAAAGGGTGGTGGAAGAACAGAAATAATGTCCTTTCTGTGTCTGTCTCCTGCCTTTCAGAATGGAAGATGACACTCTTCCAAGCTGGTGAGAGAATCATTGTATGTTCCCTAGGAAAACAACCTGAGAAAACTTGTTCCATTTTTCTTCTCCTAGTCTTGAGATTCTGGGAAGAACAGTCCCCGTGACTGGGTGAGTTCCGAGTGGGTGACTTGAGGTCCTGGTCTCAAAGCTTAGCCCATCTCCAGGGCCTTCCTGCTGAGAGACCAGAGAACCAGGGAGGATTGCTCTCCTGGGTCCACAGATCTTCATGTGAAGGAAGCGGCATAAAGTGTAGAGCTGAGGGAAGGAGAGGCAGAGTGAACCAATACTGCAGGGAGAGTGAGGATGTGGAATGACCAAGGAGAGAAGGCAACACGCAAAGATATTTGTTTTTCCCAGGCTTCTTATGCCATGTCCTGCTCCTGTGTGTCCCCAAGTTACTTAATGTTTCTGAACTCTAGTCTCCTCATTTTTAAATGATGATCATAATCCCTATTATGTGATGGTTGAGTTAAAGACTAAGTGAGGTAATGAATGTGTCTTGGTCAAAAATCCAACAAGAAACAGATGGCATGTTGAAACTGGGTAGTTGAAGAGGATTTAGAAAGAAACTATTTACAAAGGCAGGATTCAGGTTAAGGGAGACCAGCAAAGGAATGTGGAGTGCCCCAGGACTCACCATGGTGAGGAACTATCATCACACCTAGGCTTGAAGGAATAGGGAGAGGGAGCAGTTACTGGAGCCCAGAGGAAGCTGTACCGCAAAGACAGGCTGCCTGAGAGGAGTCATGCCTTTGTGAGGGCATCACCCTCTGAAGTTGACAGGGAGGAAGTGGGGGAAATACATGCTGTGCCTCTCTTTTCTTTCTCCTTCCAATCTTCAGCTAGTACCTTCCTTTGGCCAAACCCAACAGGTAACCAGAGGCAAGGAAGCCCAGTGACGCTGTCCATATAAGAGAGATTCCTGGGGCCTAAAAGATGGTAGAGAAAGGAAGAGAGTGGATCTGGGAGCACAGAAAGTCCCCAGCGTGGCCTCTAACACAGAATATGCATGGAGCTATTGTAACTTCAGGCACTTCATCCCCGCCTGGCCCTGGACTACATATGAAACAGGTATTATCTTTTTCTATCCTAGAGATTAGTATTTTTATTCCCATTTTTCAGATAAGGAAATTGAAGCTCAAGGACATTATGTAGCTTCAGTCTATGGAAAAGGAGACTGCACAAAAGGGAAAGTCATTCAGCTCAGGAGTGGTAGAGTAAAGATTGAAATGCAAATCTGTGTGACTATAACGCTCAGGTGGGCAGAGTCATTTTGGAAAGGGAAATAGGAAACACATGGAAGGAATGAGCCAGCTTGAGAGTCCCATTAGGCAGACCCTGACCCTCAGAATTCTACTCCACCAAAAACAAGACTCCTGGGCCTTTCTTTTGGTGTTGCTGAGAGGGTCACATTCAGGCAAGGTTGGGAATACCAGGTCTGGATTTGGACCTCATCAGCCATAGCCGGGTCTTGAAAGTTGAGCTCTGAGTTGTAGGAACAATGGCCGACCCCATGGCCCATCCCCAAACTTACTGCAGTGGATGTGATTCTGGATCTGGACACAGCAAACTTCATCCTCCTTCTTGCTGAGGACCAGAGGAGCCTGCGGCGGGCAGAGGAGCAACAGAATCTGCCAGCCCACCCTAAGAGATTTGATAGGCATTATCGTGGGCTTGGCTGCAAGAGCTTTACATAAGGGAGACATTTTTGGGAGGTGGAGGTAGGGGACAAGAAAGGGTGGCATGTTGGGGTGTGTAGGGAGAACATGAGAGAAAAGTGGGTTTATATAGCACCCGAGAATGAATTCTGGATTGTGAGGCTGTCTGACGGGAATGACTATCTGTCTCTCACCTACCCCTGGACCAATCTGGCAATTGTCAATCCTCCTCAATGTGTGGGAGTTTTCCTGGACTATGGGACTGGCGAGGTAACATTCTACAATGCCATTGTGAATGCCATATCTACGTCTTCCCACACATCACCTTCTGCGGGCATCTGTGGCCTGTGACCTGTTTTCAGAATTCAATCATGGGATCCCACTGCCTTGAACATTTGCCCAGCGCTGACCTGAGTGCAGAGTTCTCTTGTTCCTGACCTGGTGTCTGACCTTTCCCTGGAGACACCAGTGACCCCGGGATCTGCTGACTGGAATGGGGACCCTCAGGCTGAAGTAACATCCTTGCTTTCCCCTGCTCAGCCTGGAGCTGAGTGTCTCCTTAAAAGCAACACTTTGCAACAAATAAACTACTTACTAAATGCACACACTATGCGAAGCATGTCACTAATGTTAATTCCATTACTCCATATGACAGTTTAGTTTGGTACCACTTTATTGTCTCCTTTCTATAAAAAAGGAAACAGGGGTGCACAAAAGTGAATTAACTTTCCAAAGTTTACTCAGCAGGTGAATGACAGCTAGGATTTTAAGAACAATAACTAAAATGTATCGATAACTTAAAATGTACTGGGTGCTGTGCTAAATTATTTAAGTGCATTTCCCTGCTTTAATTCTCACTACAACCTTGTGAGGTAGTCTCATTTCAAGAATGTGGAAACTGAGGCAGGGGTAGGTATACTACTTACATCATTTATACAGGAGAGGGGAACCTTCTAGGTGGGGAGACTTTCCATCACAATCTTTACCTCAGGTAGTAATGTCTGATTTCTGGAGAGAAGGAAGGGAAGGATGGCAGAGTTATGGAAGAATATGAAGTGACAACTGGAGAAATTCAATTCTGGCCAGAGAAGTGAGCCAAGGAAGGCGGAAAACTGCCTCCCTCATCCTTGTGTTGTTGGCTTATCCCATGGAATGTTGAATGAATCAATCTATCGGGAGAAAACTGAACCTGGAGGGGAAGGGGGCTGCCCAAGACAGAAGTTGGAGTGTTGATGATCCCAACACAGGTTACGGGAAAGTTTGACCTAGATGGGAACCGTGGTGTCAAGTCTCCTTGGCTGTTTTCTCCATGTCTGTGCCCTTAGGTCTCTGGTCCCTGCCCCTTCAGGGTGATTCATCTTTGGTGCTTATGGAGCCAGCTGCTTCCTTGCATTTCTCCCTGCCAGGCTCCCTTCTTTTCTTCCACCTCCTCAGCTTGTTTGCACTGGTCTCAGATGGAGTCCATGCCACTAGCTTTTCTCAGATTCTCAGAAAAGGAAATCAACACTTCAGTCTGAAATCACTGTAGTTTGAAGAAGTGCTGCAGTTGTGTTCACTCATCCTTTCCTTCCACACATGCTCATTGAATTTGTACCAGTGTGGTCCCATGGAAATGCAATGAGAGTCACAAAGGCAAGCTGCATACAATTTTGAAATTTTTCCTTAAATTTAAAAGGGTTAAGGGGCTGGCTGTTGCCATAGTGGTTAATTTCCCACGCTACACTTCAGCAGCCCACGGTTCACAGGTTCCGATCCCTAGCACAGACCTAGCACTGCTCGTCACGCCACACTGTGGTGGCATCCCGCGTAAAATAGTGGAAGCTTGGCAAAGATGTTAGCTCAGAGACAGCCTACCTCAAGCCAAAAAAAAAAAAAAAAACACAGAGGAATTTTGGTAACAGATGTTAACTCAGGGCCAATCTTACTCACAAAAAAAAAACAAAAAAATAAAAAAAGCAAAAGAAAGTAAAAAGATTAAAAAGGAATTGATGAAATAAATTTTAATAATATATTTTAA